AGACTGTTGAGGGTTCAGCCTCCTGATGAGTCGGTGAAACTCCGACGAAACAGTTTGTCACAGCCCCTCGTTTGTTGTCCTCTTCTCCCTCTCTGCCTACGGTTTACCGGGGAGTTCTATTTGACGATATATATATATATATCGTCAAACAGAGCTGCCTGGTAAAGCGTAGTAGGCAGAGAGGGAGGGGAGGAAGAAGAGGACAGCAAAAGAGGGAGGGGTTGTGACAAACTGTTTCGTCGGAGTTTCACCTACCTACTCATTAGGAGGGTGAACCCAAAAGGTGAATAAGAGAAAACGGTTGTGAATAAAATATCTTGAAGAAAAGAAATTAAATATATTATTTGATTGTGTATATTCAATTAGGACTATATAAAAATACTTTATATATATACAATTTGAAGAGGTGAATAAGAGTAACGGTTGTGAATAAAATATATTAAAAACAAATTCTCCAACATCTGTTAATAAGAAAATAGAATTTTTATGACGATTTAATCCTATATATATCATTTGTAGAGGCTCGAAATTGTGGAAATCATGTTTGTTTCAAAAAGTAAAAAAAACGCTCAGAAATTCCAGTGTTTTCCAAGGAAAAAAATAAATAAAAAACAATGATGAAGCTGCGGCTTGTGGAACGGATTGAAATCTTTAGTTGCATTCTGGGTATTAGTTTTTTTTTTTTTTTTTTTTTTTTTTTGGGAATCTTGGTAGTAATCTAGGCTACCAGCCGGGCCGCCCGGGTCACCCTATTTTCCCGGGCGGCCCGGTCGTGCAAGGACGAGGGAAGGTCCCAGCCAAAAAAAAAAAAAAAAAATCCAAAAAATCCGGAAAAAAACTATGTTATGCAGAAAAATAAACCGAACAACTTTTGCCTCAGGGTCACATCGAAATTCTTTCCCAAATTTGAAATAAAAATTGAAATAAAAAAATATCTTTATTATTATTTTTATTATTTTTTTCTTTTTGGCCCGACCGGGCAAGTGGACCCGGGCCACTCTGGTAGCCTAGGCAGTAGTTCGTTTTTTCTTTCTTTCTTCCTCATTTTCTTTTGTTTGCCTTTTCGTCTAGGACATAAAGGAAAGGAACGTCAAATTTTTAAATGCCCAAAGTTTTACTGGTGTCCGGTTGTAACACCCAGTAAGCCCTGAGGACTTTTGCGGTTAAAAAAACGCCAAAATTGCGGCCGGTTCTACTCTGTTTTTTACCTTTCCTTTATGTGCCCTCCCCCTCTCCCCCCCCACCAACTCCGCTCCCCATCTCCCCCTGTCTCTGAGAGCCTACTCCTTTATAACTAATTTGGATGGCGGGACCCCTTCAGGAGGAGCTGTGATGAGACATTACTTGGCCGTGTACTGTCCCACTGTTGGAAAAGCGCCCTTTGTACTGTCTACGATTTTTTTTTTTTGGTTTTACTTTCAATGCATTTTATCGAGTTTCATTCCTTTGCGCATTTAACTTGGACGTACCTGGCAGCAATTTAAGCGATTTTTTTAACCTTTTTTTTTTTTTTTTTTTCCCAAAACCGGAATCGTCAGGAAGGCCCTCCTGGCGGGAACACGGTAAGCCCTTTGACGATTTCGGTTCAAAAAGCGCCGAAATTGCGGCCAGGTACGTCGAAGTGAAAAGCCCCAAGGGGTAAAGTAGTAGTGGAATAATCGATTTGATAATGTAATGATTTATTTATGGAGGATGTTGTGATGTATGAAGGGAAATAAAACCGTAATGAAAAATAATGATCGATGATAGTTCTGTTGGAACCGGGGACGCAGTCCCACTAGCAAAGAGGAGTGTTTTAAGCGCCTGAACTTGGACGTGTTTTTTGCAGAGATGCGGAAAGGCAGATCAGTGGCGATTTCCTGCACCTCCCGCCTATCACGTCCAAATTCAGCCGTTTAATCCTCTCCTCTTTCCTAGTGGGACTGCGCCCCCGGTATAGACTGTTGTGAGCTCTGAACTGAAAATTTTTGGCGTTTTTTTTACCACGTGGATAGACACGTGGCAGCTGCTGCAACGTCGATGTTCTGCACCTCCCCCCTAGCACGTCCAGATTCAGCCGTTTAATCCTCTCCTCTTTGCTAGTGGGACTGCGCCCCCGGTATAGACTGTTGTGAGCTCTGAACTGAATGTTTTTGGCGGTTTTTTTCCCACGTGGATAGACACGTGGCAGCTGCTGCAACGTCGATGTTCTGCACCTCTCCTCAATCACGTCCAGATTCAGCCGTTTAATCCACTCCTCTCTGCTAGTGGGACTGCGCCCCGGGTATAGAGACTGTTGTGAGCTCTGAACT